TTTTTCCGTGTCCGGCAACGGATCTCAACCCTCACTGTTGCCCCCGCACCGGACCGGGGACCGGCAACGGGATTGCAAGCCTCGGCGTTGCTCCCGCGCCTCGCTCAGCCAGTGAGCGGGAACCGGTCTGTATGTGGGATCCGAACCCTCGGGCGGGAGCGCCGCCACGCTTCCCAAGCGGCGCCCTATCCAGTGCGCTACCGGGCCGGCGCATGTGTGGTCTGTTTTTGACTGAATATCATTACGTGGCTCATGACCTTCTAAATAATCTTCTGAATAAGTCTGATTTTAAGGGACCTTGCAGGAGAAAGACATTTTACTTTAAATTCCCTAATATTAAAAATCTGTGCCTTTCAACAGACCTCTCTCTGCCCTTGGAGGGTGGAAAAACATTATTTAAAATTTAATTCCTGATTCATTTTGTCAAAGACGACGTCGTTCAAGTCCTTAAATAAGATTTGAATGTTTAGAAGAGCCCTGTTTGGGCTCCAGTGACCCAACACAGGCCCTGCTGGGGGCTGAGCAGGAGTGTGTGGCGGGGTGGGCATGCGGTGCGGGAGGCCTGCTCCCTTGCAAGCGCCGGCTTCCGAGGCTTCAGCGCAGGTTTGCTAAGGGAACACTAGCACCCTGCTCAAAGGCCACGGGCAAACGGAAGGAGCCAGCTTTGCTGTCTTCTATTAGGGCTGCTTCAGATCTCTGTGCGTGTTCCTCACTTAAATGTTGCTCCTTCGGATCTTTCTTCCTTTCAGGGTTACCCTCGAGGTTAGGCTACACGCATAACATGGTGGTCGTCCCTATTCCCCAGCCTGGCAGTGTCATTTATCCTCAGGAGAAATTCATTCATTTCAGCAGGTTAAGGGAAGAAAAATAATCCACAGTGTACCTGCAGGCACTGAGCTCTAGGTTACAAACCGGGACTCAGTGCAGGACACCGTGGCAAGGGCTTTACAAGCCCTGACACTGATCATAGAAAAGGGTCCTGCAAACATGGGAATGGAGGCTTGGCTGGATGGTGGGCCAGGGCCAACGTGGAGAGTGTTATTCATTCAGTGCACGTACATTAACACTTCCATTGATCCTGCACTATGAAGGTACATGAACTTCAGATGGCAGCAGTGTATTTTGATATCTTCGCACTGGGATTTGAAACTGTTGACCATAATCTATTTCTAATTTACTGTCTTGAAATTAAAATCAGAGTGCAATATTTGAAAATTTGAGATATATGATATCCACACATATATCCACACATACACACGTGTGTGCAAACATATCTATGCATACACATGTGTACAAATTCGCTTTTTCATTATTTTTTCAATAAGGTAAGTTTAGACAATTGGCCACTCCACCTGCTCCAACAGAACTGTAGCATTATGTTGCAAAGAGTTTTGCTAGTTAAAGGAGAATTATCTCTGCCAAGGATAGTTTGGTCTCTTCTGCCTTAAGTGGGATTGCATCAGTTCCTCTCCTGAAGTCTAGTTTTCTGAAGCTCATCTCAAAAGTTCCCAGAGCTGCCCCTTGCCCCCATCTGAGCAGAACAGGGCAAAGACCTCTTGACCTATCTTGAATTATGTGGCTATTTCCTCCCTTCCTTTTCAATGGCATTGTCACCGTCTTGTCCTGGGCTGCTCCATCACCCCTTCCCAGGTAACGCAACTCTGCTGTGTTTCCTAGTCTTCTGTTCCTGTTGCACGACATTTCCAATCAGCTTCCTAGGGTGTTTTGAGAAGCGGCTGCATGGAAATCTTGTAAAATCTGAGTGGGAGAGAGTGGCCTGCTTTGCGTGTGCTCAGGCCAACACTTTGCCTTTCAGGAAATTGTTCATGTTGTCATCACAGAGCTTACAACAAAGAAGAAAAGCGAGACAATTGACTCTCAATGTGGTAAATACTAGATGGACTGAGTAGAGAGGGTTCTTGGGGCCCACAGGGAAAGGTGTTGTCCAAACTTGAGAAGCCAGGGAAGGCCCATGGAAGGAGAGGTGTCCCAGCCGACACCTGGAGATGGGGATGGACTTAGACAAGGAGGAGGTGGGAAGAATGTTTCAGACAGCGAGAAGACATGTCAAGGCCTTATCTGGGGAATAAAGGCAGGTAAAATATCCTCTGAATAAGTCCCTGTAAGAGTGGAGGATAGGAGACAAGGATCAGGGCAAAGGACTCAGGAACAAACAGAACGTGGAGTCTCCCTNCAAACTTGAGAAGCCAGGGAAGGCCCATGGAAGGAGAGGTGTCCCAGCCGACACCTGGAGACGGGGACGGACTTAGACAAGGAGGAGGTGGGAAGAATGTTTCAGACAGCGAGAAGACATGTCAAGGCCTTATCTGGGGAATAAAGGCAGGTAAAACATCCTCTGAATAAGTCCCTGTAAGAGTGGAGGATAGGAGACAAGGATCAGGGCAAAGGACTCAGGAACAAACAGAACGTGGAGTCTCCCTCTGTACCTGGTCCACACACGTGCTTCTCTTAGTCTCAGCAGCGATTCACACCCTCAGAGAAGCATGTCTAGCTCCCTGACAGGGTCAATTTCCCCTGTGGACGCTCTCAGAGTGTCATGTGTCTCAAAGCATTTGTCATACACTGCATTTGCCTGTGTGACCACTTGTTAGTATCTGTTTCCTTCCATTGAACTGTCAGTTCCATGATGGGGGCCAGTGGACATTGGTTCACTCCCCTACTCCCATGATGAGCAGAGCTCTGGGCACACAGGAGCTGCTCGATAAACGTGGTAGATTGAAAAAAAAGGCCACATGTTCTCCTCATTCCTCTACACAGGACCCTCTGGAACCTGACTTTGCCAGTCCTGTCAGTTTCTCCATCTTCTTGCATCTTGCTGGCCTCTGAACTGGCTTTGAGTACAGAATGTGGTGGGAGTAATGCCGAGGGAACCATGAGCCTTGCTCCCTGGATGCACCGCCAGCAAGAGAGGAAGAGGCCCGGCCAAGAGCACCAACCTGCAGGTGACTGAGTAAGACCCATCGGGCCACCAGAGGGTAGCACTGCAGGCCTGAGCCCAGCCCAGACCGTCAGGGGGGCCCAGCTCAAGCCGCTGACCAGAACACTTGAACTTGAATTGGCAACTGAAATGGTTGCTGTCTTCAAAACACTAAGTTTCAGGTAGTTTGTTATCAGCAACAGACAACTGATACTGCGTCTGCTGAATGAGTGACTCCAGGCGCTGAGGGTAGACAGGGCACTTTCTAGAGCAGAGGTTTCGTGATGTGGATTTTCCTCTGGGTGGTCCTCTGTGTGTACTTGGACGTTTCTTGGTGGCCAGCTCCTGAGGCAGCCAATTCTGTAATGGGGTAGCTTTGATTGTTAGAAATTTGTTTATATTCCATCGAAGCTTACTGGAGCTTTTGCCTACAAGTCTTAATTCTTTTTGTTTTTGTTTCTAGTTTCACAGATTAATTCTAGTTTCTCATCTCTTTCTAACATTCCAAATTGTTAAAAACGGCTATTGTTTCTGCCCCCCCATTTTTTTCCTACTATAGACCAAGTAATTCTTGGTTCTTCCTACTTTTCCTCCTCTGTCATGGTTTTCAGACCCTTTGTCACCCTAATTGCTCTCAATGTCCCTTTGGTAATGTGACTCTCACATTCTGTCATCATATCAAATCCTCTGCTCCTTAAAACTCAGGACAAGCTAGTAAAGTTTTAGGTGCACTGCCAGGCTTCTTCACTGCCACACCCCGCAACGTAGAGGCCACGGTACAACAGGCCCCAGGACTACAAAGCCAAAATTCCCAGGAAATTACATGGATTACAGAAGACTTTTCCTAAGAGGGCATTTCTGAGACGAGAACAAAAGACATTTCATACCACCCCAGCCTATGTCTGTGGGCTGTTTCTATTGCTATTATGCAAGAGGCTCTTCTTTCCTATGTCACGTTTTTGAAAAGCCCCACAGGTAACAGCTGTTCTATCTGTACGTAAACCTGAGCACTCAGCCTCGCAGACTAGGAAGTGTCTGCACTTCACAGGCCCCTCACCAGAGAGACGCAGGGTGAGCGCTGGTCCAGCCCTCAGCCCCGCTTCTCCCCCCTCTCACATTTCCTTCTGCTCCCAAACGAGCCAGCCAAGAGTTCTTGGGCCACACAGCAATACATCATTCCTTCTTTTTCAAATATAACCTCAACATACTGTTGCCAAAAGAAGAAAACATCTGGATGCCATTGCTGACTAAGGCAGCAGTAAGTCTAAACTTCCCAGCTCTAGTGGGCTGGAAATCAATGGGACATTTATAGGTCGAGTAGTTTTTGCCCCTGGCCTCCATTTATGTGGCCACAAAACTTGCAGAAGTTCACATCAATCTTATAACCAACCGGAATCTAAGAGAAACAAACAGGAATAAGGAGCTTTTATCGGCTTACCTTTTCTGACTCCCGCCAGCACTTCAGGATGAATATGTGAGCATAAATGTCCTCCACGCAGATCCAGCTGGAGAGGCTCAAGGTGGTGTCTGTCCACACCCAGTCCATCACCGCCCTCAGCTCAGTCAGGAAGGGAACGAGGCGGAACCTGGCGGGAGCCACATCTCGTTAGGGACATCTGTGGGTGGCCGCACTGCCAGCTAACCCCGGGAGCTCCTGCACTACCGTACTTACTGTTTTAACCCCCATGACTTAAACGAAAATTCTCAAGGTGACCCTTACAGTGAAATCCAGCATGGAATACAACTGCTTTTCATTGTAAGTCCAGTGTATGGATTAGCATTTTTCGTTCTTATTCCTTTCCCTGATGACGTTACCAACCGGAATTCTCCTTTTAAATAAGTTTGATGTGAGTCAGCTTCTTTCACATTTACTTGTTTACCTTAAGAGTATCTTGAATTACTGTAGTTTTGCTGTTGGACGAATTAGTAAAGATCACAAACCTAGAAAGTGAAGGATGAAGGCACTGGGAGGAGTCCGAGGAGCCGGGGCAGAAGGTCCCACAGCTGGGGACATGCTGGATTACCAAGGCGAAGGCCTTGGGCCTCGCCTCTTGTATGTCACTTGTATTTCAGAATGGGTTGGCCAGGGCTCCTCTAGAGTATGGGGAACGTTTCTTATATTTTGACTGACTCAGAGCTTCTCCCAGGCTGGGGAACCTGGGTTCATCCCACGGCCCTCACAAAAGTTGGTGTTACCACTCGTAACTTCTCCCCTGGGCTACCTCAGCTCTGGCGAGTGAACACTAACCCAGCCCTGGGAAGAAATATCAGGCGGAGACTCAGGCTAGCACTGAACGCAACACTGGTCAGCATGTGGCAGCTCACAGCATCCGAGTGCACTCCCTCCTCTTCTGTGACTGAGTCACAGTCCCCAGGTCTGCTGCCATGGAGGAGTGGGCGGTTTCTCGAGCAGCCTTACCTTTATGCCATGTTATAATCTCCGAGGGGACAGACAGGAGGTGCTGCCTCTGCAGTCATCACACAGAAGAGTGACTATGCTCTGTCTGAGTAGCTAACTCACCAGCAGGAGCATTGGGCTGGTCTTAGGTGGAATAAATGCCCCTCTTCAATGAACGAACGTACTGTACACACAAAATCCCAAAGGCATTGGGATAGTCCAGACTCCAAATATTCTGTTCCACTGTGCTCAGAAGTGTATTAACACTTAAGGACCAAGTATCTCTATTTTCATCCCCAAACATTATCACAGTATAATGCAGGCAACTAAATGGAAAATGAACCCATGTGGATGATCCTAGAACCACATCCTGGCCAGGTGTGCGGCACTTACACATAGAAAGGAGATTAAAGAGGCATGTTTGTTCTTTTGCTAACACTGTAAGAGTTCCACGATGATTTACATTGCTGTACTCTTCTGTCCTTCCCAGGTGGGAAACAAGATGCCCTTCGACCGCCCGCCTCCGCTCCATCAGTGACTGTGACCATACAGAGTGTCCTTACCCTTGAAACAAGAAGAGGTTGACATAATTGTAGCTCTTTGTGAGGAAGTTTCCAAGGACTCGCGTTGGGTAGCCACAACGGATTTGGTAGGCAGACAATCCAAAGTAAACACATTTCACAAAGTACCAAAGCTGAGCAACCAGGTTCTGACTGAATTTCCTAAAACGTAAAAATGCAGAAAGTGAAGGAATGGAATACTTTTCTGGTACAAGAAGACATCAGTTTAGAAAATTTTTAAAAAATCCTAATTACTGCTCTGGCGCTTAAAGTCAATTTTAAAGAATTCTCTATACATACTGGATCATTTCAAAGGCAAAAAGTGGGGTAAGAAAATCTAATAATTGAAAAAATCCTGTGAATGGTGTCTCCAATCTGTATTATTCAGTTGTTTAGGCCATAACTAAAATAAACTATTTTTAAGTGATTTTACTAATAAACATTTTCCCATAATGTGGATTACACAGCCGCCCTAGTTCAAATGAAATCTCATGAAAGAAAAAAACAAAATGTACTTTCTTTTACTTAAAAGGATCCATAATTTGGAATACGTAGGAGAAAGAATTCTGAGCAGTGGACCCCCAATTTTTTTATTATACATACATAAAAACAGATAATGGATTAACACACCTTTCAATCACCTGGATTTTGGTTCCAGTTTTGTCCGCAAGCTATGGGATTTGTTCCCCAGCCATCATTTCTCAAGACATCAGTGACATTATTAGGAAAGTCTCCCTAGCTCTGAGAATCCACGAGTCCATGAGCTAACCTTCCTTTTTTAATGATGTCCTTAACAACAGAGACATAGTCTTTTCTCCAGGTGAATTATTAGTGAAGAGACCCACAGTGCCGTACAGTTCCTAAGTTCAAAAATTTAGTGGAACTAAATTTCATACTAGGAAGAAATTTAGAATATTATTTCTGGATAAATGCAGCATTCTGCAAGAGTCTTAAGTGTGGTCAATACAAATTTTAAAAAGGAAGTAAAAAATATGACTTTTGACTTGGTGAGGCCTT